GGGCATTATTCTGCCCGCCACAGCTAGGAGATGCGTGGAACGGACCACATAAAGTCCGTGCACGCGGAAACTATTGGGGTTGCACCTTCTCTACGCCAAGCACCAGGGATGAGAGAGGAAGAAGGCAGCGTCCTGTGGCTGCAGGGATCCAGGGATGGGCTTCACCAGATTCCCGAAAGGGGTACTCAGTGCAATGAATGCGGGTGCGTGGGGACCTTTCTTCAGGAGAGACCGTGTGGCTCTTATGCTGGGTACTTTTGTGCCAGGATCCAAAGGCTATGGCTCCGGATGTGGAAACCCCTCGTAACCAGAGGTGGGGAGGAGGAAAAACAAAAACAAAAAAAATACAGCTTTTCCACTTCGGGACTGGCAAGGAGCCAGAGAGAGGTCTCTAATGGAAAAGGGGCCTGGTCCCCATAACCCTGTCACGAGGACATCTTCCTCTGAGGGGCAGTGACCTCTGCCAGGGCTCAGATTTCACACAGAGCCCTCGGAAGAGGACGCGGGAGGCTGAGAATGCCCCAGATTTGTAGAAACAGTGAGTTTGAGGGCAAGCCTGGAGCATAAACAACCCCAGACTAGGGCTGCAGCCAGTCTATAAAGCCTTGAGTGATAAGCCGGTGACTGACTTCCGCCAGGGAGAAACTCCTCCGGGGCTGGGGGCACTCCAGCTTTGTCCAGCCGTCCCTCCCAAGACCCCCGTACTCCCCACATCCATGAGCCTCAGAAGCCACAGGCCGCCGCCAGGCCCTCCAGTGCCCTGGTTCCATCCATTCTGTTCAAATGCCGCTTCCCTGTGCCCGGCTGGATGCTCCCAGCACCGGAGGTGTCCAGGGAGGACGGGGCTCCCTGGCACCTCCGGGAATCCAGCTGCCCAACTGCTTCCCTGGCGTCCAGGCCCAGGTGAGAGCCTCTGACCAGTCCATCTCGTCTGGGTACCCAGGAAGGGGCAGGACAGGTGCGTCCAGGGAGCCAGTAAGCATCCCTGCAGCCCGGACAGGAGCCAAAAGCCTGACCCAGCAGGAAATACTAAGGCTGCAGGGGGCCCTGTTGGGATGGCAGCAAAACCGGGCAGGAAAAGCAAACAACCCCAGAGGGGGCCGGTGCCCTCAGAGGTAAGAGGCCCGGGCCTGAGTCCAGGGAAAACACAGGAAGCCAGCGACCCACACGCCCTTGTTTCTAGCAGGCACTGGTGCTCCGGGCTGCTTCGTCAGAGCAGAGCTCTGGGGCGAGAGCTCGGGGTGCTTGAGTGCATGGGCCTCAAAGTCCACCAGGAAAGGCCAATCCCACGGGCTCCAACAACAGACAGCTAAGCCGCTTCAACTCTAGCCTCCGTTCCTCATCTAAAAAGTGGGCAAGATCAATCATCCCATCTCCCACGGCTGCGGTGCTGGGAGAGATCAGTTGCAAGATGAAGTCAGCTCGCGGTGTTAGCTCACCACCACCACCAGCATCAGTGGGACCAACCACCCAGCCACGGAGAGCCTGCCTCCTACCGGCCTCCGTCAGGGCCAGAGTCGAAGCCCGGGCTCCAAATACCCATTCTCGTCTTCATGGAGACACGGAAGGTTGCCTTTCAGACCCCACTGGTCCTTCTGTCCTCCCGCGCCCACCATTCACTCCACACGATGCCTTCAGGACTCCCCTAGGCCGGGCAGTGTGCTAAGCCAAGAGGACCCAACAGCAAATACAATGCGTCCCACCCCCACCCAAACCACCAGCGCCCAAGGGAGCCAACGTGCAGGCAGGAAGACATGCCTCCACACCCTTCTACCAGAGGGGAGGGGGCCGCTGGTACTCTGCTCCCCTTTACAGGAAGGGACCTCAGCCAGAATCACGTACAGGCAGTGCCGAGGCCACCCTGCTTGGCCCCCCAAGAGCCGACCGCTCGCAAACTGCTCTCTAAGAACTCAGAGGCAAAGTTAAATCCCCTAGCAGGCAAAATCCTCACCCCAATTAAATACACGCACAATCGGCTCATCCATATGTAACTGGCCACAACCCCCACCATGACCCAAAGCCTGAGGTTCTGGGTCTGCACCTGGAGTCCCCAGCGCATCCCTGGAGGACAGCCTGGGGCCAATGCCCAGCCTCTGGTTGGAGAGGCCCAAGGTCCTAGTCTCCGGGCTGAATGAACACGTACCATCTCCGCGTGACCCTGGCCGCCTAACTTCCCTGAGCCTCAGTTTCCCCACCTGTGCCATAGGTAAGGACAGGGTCTACTTCCTGCAGATGGGAGGCATCAGCGGGAGTGGGCACTTAGCTCAGGGTGCCTGGTACACAGTAAGCACGATCATTATCACTGCCGTTAACTTTGCCGCTGTCATCGTGGTTGTTTTCCAGCAATAGATATGTCTCGTGCCACAAGCAGAAGCGTCACCAACGCCGAGCACTTCGAAGGTGGCTCTTGACCAGCAGCAAGGACGGACGAGACCCCGGTTGTTCTCACTCCTTGTTGGGCAGGGTGACCTGACCCTCAAATCACCCCAGGGGCCTCGGCACCGTGCACCCAGAAACACCAGCAGCTCTGTTTACCCCGTAGACGCCTGGCTGCCCCCCTCTGGCCGAGCCGGTGAAGGGACCAGGAAGTCCACAGGCCTCAAAGTCAGACACGGACCCAGTGCCCCCGCCAGGGTACCCGGACTGCCAGTCAGCCTCAGCCAGCCTCGCCACCGCCCACCCCGCAAGTACGATTCCCCTCCCCGCGCAGACTGGGAGAGCTGGGGTAGCTGGTTGCTGAGAGCCCAGTCAAACCCAGGTCGGTCTGACTCCCAGGGTACGGAGCCCAGCCGGCTCCCTCGACAACCAAATCTCAACCAGGACCCAGAATAACAACAGCAAACACATCCGGGGCGGCCGGCGCATGCCAGCCAGACTGAGCACGGGATCAAGGTTACATGCGCCTCGTGCAAGTCCTGCAAGAGAGTAGATTTATGATCCCCGTCTTACCCCTGGGAAGTGAGGCTCGGGACAGGAAGTCAGTTGCACAATGACGCACAGCTAAGCGCAGAGCAGGACTCGAGGCCAGCTCCGCGTGGCTCAGGGCCCAGGCTGCCGGGTGATTCAGGCCCCGGACACCAGCCCTCACTTTACCCACCTCGCTCCTGCCTGGCAGCTGGCCGGCGGGGACGAGGACTGGCCCGCTTCCCTCCCCCGCTGGGGACGAGGGCCCGGATGGGAGTGCGGTGGCTCTGAGGCTGCAGCAACTCCGGGACCTGGGCGGTGACCCCAACTCTTGTCAGAAGCCTCCCGAGGCCAGGTAGGCAGAGGGACCATTTCCAGACCCGCAGGCAGGGGCCGTGGAGGAAATGCAAGGAGGACTGGTGAAAATGTCCTCCGCTCGGCCATCTGCTTTTTCAAAGCAGCCTCTGCTGAGAGACTACCGTTAGGAAAGTCTAAAAACAAACAAAAAAAAAGGACAGCAAACTTTTTTTCCTCTTTCCCTTAGATAGAAAGGAGGACAGTGATCTGAGCGGATTCTTCTCCCAGACGACTCCAAAGTAGAAAATCACCCCCCAGGCAAGGAGCTGGAAGTGAAGTAAACAGAGACCCGGAAGGAAGGGGTGCCACTGGGAGCAGACAGAGAGCACTGGACGAGGAGTCCGAGGCTGCCGGAGTCTCACCGCATGACCTTGGACAAGTCCTGCCCCCCAATCTCTCCATCCGGGAAACTAAGGGCAGGAAGAGAGGCCCCTGAGGACTCCGGCCAGGACCGAGGCTCTGCAGAGGGCTTTGCCCAGTCAGGGAACTCAAAAGTGACATTTATTCAAGCCAAGTGTTGGCAAGACTCACCGGGCAACCCAGGCCCAGCCCAAGAGGCTGAGGCACTGAGCGCACAGTCTCCATCCCTCGGGTCCCATCACTGGGAACACCCAGACAGGAGGCGGAGTAGAAGCAAACACAAGGTGCATATTTAGTGCGTCCTTCCACCAGCCTCTCCTATTCCACAATGCTCCTAGATGGGTATTAGTTCCGCCTTACAGATGGGGAAAGTGGGGCTCAGAGAGGTTCAGGGGCGCCCAAAACCACCCATTTGGAGAAGAGCTGAGTGGGGATTTGAACCTTCGAGAGCTCACGCCCTGGCGCCACCAGGAGATGGTGTTCAAGGGGGCTAGGGCTGCTCCAGGGCGAGTCCCAGGACAGGTAAGGGTGCTGCAGAGGGGCGGGCGGCGGGTCAAGGCCGAGGCTGGGCCCCTGTGCCTGAAACACTCTCTGAGCTACCTGCCCAGTGGGGCTGATGGAAACAACATGCTAATTAATGGCAGCAGCTCTCAGGCCCCTGGTTCCCCGCCTCGGCACGGCGCCAGCACTGGCCAGACATCCAATCCGGCCTCCAGGACCCACAGAGAGAAGGCGGGCAGGGACAGTCCCGAGTGGGCAGCGGGGTTCTCCTGGAGGGTGGTCTGAGTGAAGCAAGAGCACCAGACCTTGAGGGTAGCGGTGCACTAGCTCATGGCCGGCTCCCCTTCCCACCCCCCTGCCTCGGCCAGTAGCTTCCTCCAGTAAACTCTCTTCCCCGACCCTCCCCTCTCCCTGAGCTCTCCTCCTGGGCCCCCTCCCATCGGTGTCCCCAGTTCCCTGTGCATCCTTCTCTGGGCCGCTCTCCTGTGTCTGCATCCCCAACTAGACTGCCTTTCTGGCCAGCTTCCTTCCTGGCCCACCCTGGAGGGCTCTAACCCCTGGGAGAGCAGAACTCCCCGCGCGTGGGTGCAGGGCTGCTGATTCAGTTCAGATCCCCCGCCAGGGAGGAGAGGCCGGCCATACCTCTGGCCCAGCAGAAACCCTCCCAGGGCCCACCCACTCCAGATGGCAAATGCAGGGACATTTGCACTTGAATCCAGGGCTGCCTTGGCTCCCGGGGCCCAAGGCAGCAAAATGCATCTCTGAGACAGCCAGCCTGGAGACACCTGCCTGAGCCTCAGTCCCCCTGGCTCCCCGCACCAGGAAGACAAAAGGAGACTCAAATACCCCTCCCCCCAACCAGGGTGGCCAGGATTTAAAGCCCCGGCCCCAGGCCCTCAATCCACCACTCAGAATTCCTTTAGAGGAGTGCTCTCTAAGGTCCCCGAAGCCAGGCAGCAAGCAGCAGTGAGCCAAACCCTGAGAACCCGCTGCTTGTAAGACTCCCAAGCCCCAAATGTGAAGCCCGCCCCAGAGTTGGCTGGGGAGGCCACAGAGGGGATGGCTGACGGATCTTGAATGCGTCCCTGCTTAGCCAAAGACCCATCCAAGCCCTCCTGGGCACAGCGCCACCCTCTCTCACACTCCTGCCTGGTGTCTCTTCCTCCAACCGCCAAAGCAAAGGAACAAGGCTCACTTACTGTGTCTGGGGTGGTGAGGCTACCGGGTCTGGGTCTGGGTCTGGGTCTGGGTCTGGGTCTGGGTCTGGGGGAAGAGAGCAGAGGAGAGCCCGTCAGGCCCGAGGCTGGTCTCTACCGACTGGGCCCATCCCCGCCCCCTTTCCCGGGTGCCTGCTGGGCTCCTGCCTCCCCGCCCCCAGCCACTGCACCGGCTGTCATTAAGCTCCCCAACCTGTCCTACCTGCACCACCCCCACTCCCACCCCCATGGCCCACATCCCAACTCTGACCAGAACCAGCCGCCCTACCTGCACTGGGCCTGCCCCCCCCACCACCACCACCCCCAGCTCCTCAAGGAGCCTCTTGTCCCCAAGCCTGCAGGAGGTTCCTGCTAGTCCGGTCCCCAGTCTCTCCCAGATGACACAATACGAGAGCCCAGAAGCTGCCATTTAACATCAGGCTTATCAGGGCACTCCCACCCCTAGAGCCACCCGCCGGGACTTCTGGGAGCCTCCTTCTCTGGTTGGTGTGATTCCCTGGGAGCAGCTGCTGAGGAAGAGGGGCTCGGGAGACACAGCCCTGGGCACCCGCTGTGTCCAAAGCACAACCCCGGGGCCAAGACCACTTTCATTATGATGTGTCAAAGTGCACCAGATGCTGCAGGAATGCCTGGAATGTCCAGTCCCCAAGGGAAGCGGTGGAATGCAACTTCTTCTCAATGGTTTTTCCCTTCCTGCTTCTGGGGACCGTGGTGGGGCCTGGGAGGCATCACTGGGAGCCTGGATCTTCCACTGGCTCTCTGTAGCCCCAGCGGACCGGAAATGGGAGGCCCCAAGGCTCCCCCAAAACACCTTACCAGCGATGGGGGCGGAGTCCCAGTGGATCAGTGGGGCATCGATGTCCTTCTCGGGAGCAATGCCCGGGACGGCCAGGCCAGTGCTGGTGTCCTCGTCATCGTCACTGTCGTCAAACTCGAAAGCCTCTCCGGGGTCGTCCTCCGCCTCAGGGGAGGGGCCAGGGCCTCCAGGAACCAGCTGATCTTCTGGAAGGGAGGAGGAGTCAGCGGCCACAGGGCCTGGGGTTTGGGCAAGGGGGGTAACTGCAGCGGGTGAGCAGCTGGGGTCTGAGCGAGGGCAGTTCCCAGAGACTAGAGTAAACCCCTGCCCGGGGCCAGCCGGCCCTCCTGTGCTCCAGAAGTGACCTGTGGTTCGGTGAGGGCTCGAAGCAGGTGGGCAGCGGACAGAGGGGAGGGAGAAAGCCTTCACAGAGAACGCGAGCACATCCACACTCGGACGCACGTCTTTCGTGCCCTTGTTCCCTATTTCCCCATTTTGTAAGCAAGGGGGGCCTTTTAAATGCATCTGCTCGCGTGCGGCTGGGTACGCACCTTCGTGCGTATCTCCATGTGTGTACCCATGTGCTTTTCATACGTGTGAGTGAGCACACACACGCTTGGCCTGCACACCGCAGCGGCATAAAACACGGCCGGCCGCCTGCAAGTGTTTGGAGCCATGCCCCCTGCCATCCATCAAAGCTCCACCGAAGCAGAGCCCTGCCCCACCACACCCCCCCCCTCGACTCAGCCCTGTTTTCTCCATTCCTGTATGACCTGCAGTGATGTGACTTGTGCTCGGTTGTATTCCCAGACGGACCTCAGATCCCTGAGAGCCCCTTTTACCGTCCCCTTGAAGGGGACAGGGCCTGGCCTGGCCTGGGGTAGAAACCCAGAAACTTCTGTTAAACAAGAAAAGGAACGGATCGTCTCTCCCAAAGAGCTGACCAGGCGCTCACCTCTCCACCTACATCACCGAGCTGAGGTTCTCAGTCTTCCTCCGAGGGCTCCCTTCCTAGAACCTGGGGCTGGACAGCGCCTCAGGCTTTCAACTTCACCCTCCCCTCCGGCCTCTTGCAAACCCGCTCCAAAACCAAAGGGTAGTGTGGCCTGGTGTTAAAAGTCTGCAAAGCTGACCACCCCTCCTCCGGCCGCCCTAAGCAGTCCCGCTGTATGCAGCTCACACCGTATGATTTAGAGCATGACCTTCGGTCCTGCCTGGGACCCCAACGTGCTGTGTGCTTCCGAGCAAGCCACTTCACCTCTCGGAGCCCTGACGCCTCCCTCTGTAAACTGGGGAATAAAAACACCCCATGAGACCGAGAACGTGAACTGAGAAGCAGGTCCAGGTCTGTCAGCCTCACTGCTACTGACTTTGGGGTCGCAGGGTCCTTGTGGTGGGGGCGCTGGAGGAGGACGTACGGCCACAGCCCCGGCCTCCACCAATTAGAAGCAAGTACTGCCCTCCGGCTGTGACAGCCAGAAACGTCTGCAGACATTGCCCAACGTCTCCTGGGGAACAAAATCACCCCAGGTTGAGAACAGACAGGGTAGATGGAGCACCCGGGCACCTGTTGTAGGTACGGCCCCTCCCAGTCTGAGATCCTTGAAGACAGGATCGCCTGGTCTGTGGACTCGGCCCCAGCAGGTGCTCGGGGCAGGGAGGGATGAGTAAGAAGGCAGCGAGGTGCATGGAGCAGAGAGACAGCTGGATGGAACAGCAGAGAGACAGCTGGATGGAACAGCAGACAGACTGATGGGCATATCCAGTTCCAGCAGTCTGTTGGACCAGAAAACTCCAATCCTTCCCCCCGCGACCTGGGAGTTTGCAGAGCAGAACATTCCAGGTGCAAATGTACCAAATCCAAGAAGTCCCCACGTCAGCTGCACGCCAGCTCATCCTCCCTCCCCCACCCCCAGCCGGAGACCACTGAGGCGGGGGCCCACCTCTCCTCCTGGGAGCTTAGGGGGCCCCTTGGGCCAAAGTCAGCAGGATGGACCCTTCCAGGCCATGGTGTGGCCAGGGGCACAAGCCGCTCCCCCAGGTCAGGGAACCAAACCCTGGTGGCGAGCCCGAAAATGCCCGTTCTGTCTTAGTTCCCATCCTACGTGCTCCACTGAGCCCTGCTGCCCCCTTGGATGCTGGGTGGGCCCTGAGATGATGAACTGACACGAGAAATCCCGGGCTGAGTCAGAAGCCAGGTTAGTAGCTTTCATGTTCTGGCTCTCAACCCACTGGTGAGTCACAAAATCAATTAGGGGATTCCCCGGGCAGCCTTTTGTTTCATTTTTGAAATGCTTATTTGAGATATTTTTAAATATTTTAGGTTTATAAAGTCACACTTGGGATTACTCTCGATATTGCTTTTGACAGTTCTGTTCCAGGGTATATATACACACACACACACGTACAGGTGGTCTAGAACCTTCTACCACTCTCCCCTCGCTCGCC